CGCGGCTGGCCACGCTGCCGACCACCTATCTCCAGAACGCCGTTCCGGTTTAGGAGAAACAAGCCCAGGATGAGCACCATCTACGTGGACTCCAGGCGCCGTGTCTCGGGCTCCGACAGCAACTTCACCTTCGAGCTGCCCGAGACACTGCACATGCAGTCCAGCGCCAAAATGGCGGTTTACAAGGTTCGCATCGCCGACGCCTTCCTGTCCACAGACAACGGGCCGGAACCTCTACTGGATCGACGAGGCCCTGGGCACCCTGAACACTGCGCAGCTGCCCGTGGGCGCCTACACCGGCACAAGGCTGGCCGCGTGGATCTCAAGCAATTACGCCTCGGCCACCTACATGGAGGCGCAGAACTCGATAGAAGTTGCATCGGACGGGAACCGCCGAGTCTTGTCAGACGCGGAGCTTCTGAACCTCTTCCCCAACGGGCCCGGCTACCCCCCAGGCGCCTACGCCACGCGGCCCCAGAGCATCAACCACCTGCTGGGGGGCAGCTACCTCGACGGGGCCCTCCAAATCTTCCCTTGAATCAGCATGAACGCCTATAACGAGGTTTATCTTCGATCCAGGGAGCTGGGCAACGCTGCCCACATCCTGGGGCCGTTGGGGAACGACATAATCTGCAAGGTAATCATCGACAAGGGCGTGGGCCACGTCATGAAGGACCAAACGGACGACGGGCACCTGGTGGAGCTGCGGGGCCCGATCACCCTCCGCACGCTGAATTTCCGCCTCACCGACGTGGACGGCGAGGAAGTGAACACCCGAGGAACCAGCGTCTCCTTCGCCCTTTTCCTCGACCCAGATAAATGATTTCCCTTATAAGAAAAAAGCGGAAATGCCGGATGAGCAGAAGCCCGACCAGGCTGAGGAGGCAGCAGGCGCGGCTGCTGGACCCGAGCCCGCGGAACGCGGAGAGCTCAGTCACGCCGCCCCAGAGCCTGTGCGACCAACTGCTGGACTTGCTGGGGATCTTCCCGCAGTTTCCCCTCCCGGGCCTGCCGACGCCGTGGTGGCCGTGCCCCCTGCGGAGGGTGCCGGAGCCGCAGAGCCCAAGGCCGCGCCCAAGAAGAGAGGCCGCCCGCCCCGCAGCAAAAACAAGCCCAAGCCGCCGCCAGCAACCGTCCGCGCCGACCCTGGGCAAGCGGTGAACCGTTACCGCAGGCTCCAGTGGCTCCGGAGCCGGAGCAGCAGCCGGAGCAGCCGCGCCGCCCTGTCCACCTGACACCGGCGCAAATGCGGTCGGTGTACTCCTCGCCCTCCTTGCGCAGCCGCCGGTTCTCCAACCACTCGTTGAAAGCGCGGGCTTCAAGCACCTAGGCTCAAGCCAAGT